TCGGTAAATTACCTAACTTCTCGGAAACTATATTGTTGTCTCCGGACATTCAGTCCGAAGACAGCGATGTAATTTCCAGAAAGCTAGATAATTTACCGAATGAAACAGAGGATATTTCGGTCATCTGAAAAATTCTTCAGGTGTCCCAGAAATAATGATAATAGCTGTAAGTTATAGCTGTTTTTATAAATTCTGAAACATCTGATAAAAAATCTGCCGAATGATTTTTCAGCCGTTCTGGTTAAGTTATTATTTCGGCATAATAGATTACAAATTATACATACTACGTACATATGTACATAACTTTTACATTTACAGTTAATTAATACAGTGGCACATGATTATTGATTTGCATTACAAAATTTTGCCAGCATTAATAGACTTTGTGTGCCAGCTCTATAAAAGTTCTGGACAATATTATTTACATAACAAGAATTATATATCAGAAATTTACATGCAAATTTCTACCCTATATACTGTTATATCCTTAAATCCCTATATATAAAGACATATGCATTATATATGATACTTTTTTATGATAATTCTAATATTATAAATGTCAGCACGTTTAATATTACTAAGTTTTCATTTAAATACTTGCCAACATGTTTAGTTGGGGTGTTCGATATACTATGTAAATCAAAATTATATATGGTTATACGATTGTTCTAATAATCGGACATTTTCGATCAATAAAATATGCAGAAGTATTTTCATATATAAAAATTAGTGAAATGTTTTTAGATACACAGGTCGCATCTTTCTTTTTTCATCCAAAGTCTCGATACAATTTGATTCTTCATTATCACCGTTACAAAGCTACAGAATTAATTTTTACATTATATATGAGAAATAATATTTTTTTCTAATAAATTTTACTTGCACTTGTTACCCAGACTGCTTCGAAAAATTTTTAAGTCAGTTGGTAAAATTTTTTAATTAAAATATAAATTTTGCTCTGTAACTTCATTTATTGGAGCTTTATATTGATATGTTCAAAATTTGGAATCATAATTTTTGGTCAAAAAGGTTGTGCATCTAATTAAAGGTCATCGAAGCTCGTATAACAATAATTATGGGAATATCATATAAACCCGGTTTCAATTAAAAAATGCTCGTCTAAAGAAATATAAACGCAAATTATCTGATGAAACAATACTTACAAATATGGAGGAAGTTGCTGTTGAAGAAGCATCCACCAATATTAGTGAAGAGAAATTTGTTTATATTGCTGAAGAGGCTTCTACTAACATTAACGAAGAGAAATCTATCAGTATTTATGAAAAACCACCTATCAATATTAATGAAGAGACATTCACCAAGACAATAAGCAATGTAAATAATGAAATATTATCTGCCAATGCAAATTCACAAAGAATGAAATTAATTTCAAAAATACAGCAATTACCTGATGAAGAACTTTCGTCTGCAAATAATCTTCTTTCTATAATGCAGTGCCCAAAGGGCCCAAATAAGGGCAAAATAATCTCACCATATTTACAACGAAAGGTCTATAATTATTTTACACAAAGCTTTTTTAAACATAACTTAAGTTATAAATCTTTGCAAGATTCAAACTCAAAATTGGAAAAACAAAATAAAAAACTTCATCAAAAAAATCATGCACTTATTAGACGAACTCAATCAATTGGAGCAAGGGCTCAACATCTTAAGGTCCAAAAATCGAAACACATTTCTGAAATTCGTTCATTGGTTCGTTCAAAGCAGATTACAGATGAAGAATTTCACCAAAAGGCTAAATCAATTTTTAAGTTAAATAAAAAATCATATTCTTCGAATACAATATGGCTCGCAACAAGTATTCTACAACTAGGCCAAACATCATTACATACTGCTAATGAATGTATGCGACTAATTTATGAATTTTTAACTGGCGAACCACCTTTAGACTGGCTATCTATTTCTACTTTGCATACATGGCATTTAGATGTTTCGGAATCACATTTAACAGAAGCATTAGATACATTATCTAATGAGGAATTTGGATTATTCTTTGATGGCTTAGAGCAAGGACTTGTTAAAGTTTTAGAACATTTCAAAAAATGGTTTTTACCTTGGCTTCACTTGCCATTATCTGTCTGCCGTCTTGGTGGTAATTCTGCTAAATCTTTTGCTTCAAGTTTTTTTCATGTGATTCTAAAAAAACCTTGGATCAGGCCTCCAACAAATGTGGAGATACGATTTGCTAAAGAGCTCAAAGATGATCTAGAAAATGGAATAAGTGATACCTTTGGTTTGCATGAGTTGTTATTGCAAGATAGTAATTTTTATAAAGAGTTTGAACAATTCTGTATTGATGATAGGTCACTTATATATGATTTTTCAGATTTATATAATTTCGTCAAGACTCGAATTTATTTTATAATTATTCACCAACAACAAGTGGAGGGTCTTTTTAATAAATTGGATTTAAAAACGCACATGAATATGTCACTATCATTCAAACAGTCTAAATTACAATTATCCTCAGACAAAATAGATAAAGAAAATTTACTAGATGAAATAAACAAAATTAAAAAAAAACAAAAAAAAAACTCCTCTTCAAGAAATGCAGATATCACAATTCGGACCTAACATTGCTTCAAACATTTTTAATAATCTTTTAAATATATAAATAATATATATGCAAAAATTATATAATTTGCTTAATCATTTATAATTAACTTTATATTATCATTAAAGATCCTAAAACAATAAATTGTGTAGGTGTATTTACAGTTTGTACAAGCATTTGGTCCAATTCGAAGGCTTTAAATTTTATTATTATTTCTTGAATAATTTATAATTTATAATTTATGCATAATTTATTATAATGGCGTGTTATTGTACGTGAATAAAATTGACATGGTTACACAAAAATCTTTGATATTAAATTTTTATATGATACCATATATAGTTTTGATTTACATAGTATATCGAACACCCCAATGTTTAGTGCTGTGGTGTGTTTTGTCTGTATGAAATAATATATATTTCTGAAATCACTTGCTTAACCAGATCGGCCAAAAATCATTCAGCGATTTTTATCAGGTGTTTCAGAATTTATTAAAACAGCTATAACGCTAATCTAATTCGGGCTAATTTTTCGGAATTCGGATTTTGTTTATCAGGATTTTGTGTCTCTTGGACATAATGCATAAATAATTTTCTTAAATTAGATACTAGTTTTACGATAAATATGTAAATCACAGGTCTATTCTAGGAATGTAGTGGTGCGATCCGTTGATCGTTCAATCCGTATGCATGTTGTAGATCAACTGTTCAAACTATAGTTAGCTGCTCAACTAGGTAACTGTTTGAACTATACTG